CACAGAACTGAAGAATGTATTTAAGAAATACACACAGAAATTTTTCAGAAACTTTAGCTGGTAAATTTCACCATGCATGAAAATATGTCTATTGACCTGGTAATTAATTTTTGAGAATTAAGACTGATGGATCTCATTTATATTTCTCCACCTATGAGATAATATCCCAAAAGTTTCTGAAACTCTTGGACAATTATGTTGAATATCATCTTTTGTTACAAGTTAACCCATTAAGGTGTAATTGTTAAGCATAATCATAATGAATATCATGTAATATAACACAATACTTGCAACGTTTTCTAGTCCACATTTTTTTCTAGTGCTAATATCCCTTTGTCTGGAAAAAAAGCTGAAATCAGTCAAAGAGATTCTTGCGATTTTGATTGGCCATGTCCATACTTGTAATACCATTTAAATAGATTATGCATTATATATTTTAATCAAATTACACAAATATATGGGTGATTTTAGGACAACTGTAGCTTACCAACACAAACCATTAATTCTTCACATTCTAACTTGTTCCCAAATAAAAAAAAAAAAGAAAACCAAACCCACAAAAAAACAAACACAAACAAAACAAAAAAAACCAAACAAACCAAAAACAAAAACAGAAAACCAAACTTATGTAGCAGCAAGCTCATTGCCTGGAAATTTCTGTACCATAAATCACAAATATTTCCAACAAATTTCAACTGCAAAATCACATGGCATAACATGCAGCCACAGACATTGTCCTACTTCATGTATATACCTATGGAAACTTTTTTAAATACAAAAGGATCTACTTACTAAAGTCCATACTCATCCAAGTATTCTTATTTTCAATCACACGTGTATAAAAATGTAGCCAAATCAGTTACGAATGACTCAAATAGTATAAACAGCTACACCAAACTCTCTTATCAAAATCCTGCTCTGTTTTGCAACTGAACAACCCACTGACAAAAATACAAAGAGAAAGAGGTTGCCTCTTTACTAAGAACTATTTGTTTTAGGAGACTTTCATTTCTGGGAAACCTACAAAACCTCTCATGGATAATGGAAGATAAGACGATTATTCTGCTGGGAAGTAGGGACAATTTGCATGTTCATACCGCTGTTTCACCTAGTAAGTTTTGCCAATAGTTTAAGAAGGCGTGAAAAGTTCACCTTTTGTAGTTAATGTCTGTTCCACCCACGTGAAGACTAGTACACAGTCTTTTCTTCTCCATCAGATACAATCTGACACCACTCTTGTTAAAAAAAAAAAAAAAAAAGTTTCCATAACTTTAGTTTGCAAGCAGATCCGAAATAGTTTTCAATGCAACTTCAATGAATGCAACTGCAGTGAAGTCATAAAATAATCTGGCAAAGCCAATAAATTCAGTAAAGTGGTATAATAATGCATTCTTGTGCAGTTCCAACAGTACACTTCTGCTCAAAATGATGCATATCACCTATGAGTATTAATTTAAAATTTTATCGGGTTGCTCCTACAGTTCCATTCAGTCTTCTGCAGTGGCATGCAAGAGGCTACCAGGCATACAGGCATCTATTTCTATGGCAACAGTTTAAACTCTACGCTATTATTAGTTGAAGTGTTTGGAGAAAAAAATACTTCCTTAATTAACTAAACAAGATATCTGTTCCTTTCCTGTCTGTTCTTTCTAAAACAACAAAAATCACTTTACTGTGGTGATTAAAAAATAAGAAGTAAATTATTGTGATATATATTATGCCTTGAAGTTAACAGGAAAAAAATGCACGTTTTGACACAACATGTCTGTTATATAGGCTTCCAATGTTAGAATTATACCACGACAGTTAGGCATTATCAAAATGAATAAAACATTTAATTCTTATTGTTGTTAATGCAGTACAGTTAAACATATTTAACATATTTGCACTCCACTCTCCTTGAATGCATCCTCAATCATACCCTTTCTTCATCTTGTTTTTCTTTTTGGTTTGAGTGTTTTGTTTTGATGAAAATAACCTTGGAAGTGCTAAACATGCAAATAAGATAAGCATCATCATTCAAAGCCTGGCAATTATTCTATCATCTCAGAGAGTTAGGAGATCTATGTGTTTTAACGGTGACTGTCTACAGGATGGAAGAAAGAATCATGTGAATGCTAAAATCAGAAAATGACACAGAAGGAGAAAGGGTTGTTTTGTTATTTGCCCCAACCTAGAAACTGGGTGAAAAATGCACATCTTCAACACTTCAATTGAACTAACATTTCTGTTTAATTGTGCCAAGGAACTAGAACTTTAAGGAAAGTAAATGAGCAAAGTTACAAGTTTATCCTACTTCTCCATGATGACAAATCAAAATTACATATAATTATCATTACATTATCTGGAATGCATACCTATCTGATCTCAGACATTGATTTGACATGTTTAATTTACTGTATCTTTTGCATAACTATATTTTTTTAGCATGGGATGTATCTTTGATGTTCTCAGTTCTTGTACCACCACAGCATTGTGGAGAAGGCAGAAAAAAAAGGTAGCCATGTAGGGGTGCACTGGATTATTCTTCAATTTTTTTTTTTGACTGTGCCTTAGATGACGTTGATGGCCTATTGAGGACAGAAATACTGACTTACATGTAAATGTATTTTCTTTTTCTTCTCAATCTGGTAGCTTGCACAGTGGCAAACTAGTGCCTCTACTGCCATCACTTTGCGTTACACAGAATGTCCTGGCAGAACAATCATCCTAACAAAGAAGCAAGAGGAGATAAAGAAGGGCATTCAAAATACAGGCGGTTTGTATAACCAAGCAGGACATCCCGTTTTCAGAGCTACACAACCAAACATCAAGGTATTTTCCAGGAGGCTGCAGGCAGTGATGAAGAATTCTGAATGACCTGTTCCCCATGCTCCTTCATGAACACTCTCTGCACCAGGCTTCTGCCTCGTTTTCAAGAATGTATCTATTGCAATGTGTATGTATGGGTCTGTTTTCTCCCCGCATATCCCAAAGGTGGGCATTTTCTATAAAGCAAACCGTATGAATATTTGAAGTTTAGCAAGTCCCTTACGGTGTTTTAGTCTTTAAAAGGGTTCTCTGCCTGGAGGAAGCCAGAAGCAACGTGACTGAAATTCTCCATGTCTCCACTGGGATTTGAGCTGTGAGTTACAAGTGCTTTGCAGGGACTTTCGCCTTTATAGGTTTTACTGAATTTAGGGGCACTTTCCCACACAGGAACGGGATCAAATGCGATCTGCCTGAAATCCAGCTGCAGCACTGCTCCGCGTTGGATTTTTTAGTTTCCCAGCATTTAATATCAAAGGGTGCAGCTACCCAGAGCAGGGATGGGAAAGTCCCTTTGCTAATTAGTTTTCCCACTTGGAGCAGCTACTGCAGCCCTGCCGCCCGCAGCAGCCCCGCCTTGCCGGCAGCAACACAAGCTGCCTGCGGGCCCCAAGTGCTGCTGCTGAGAGCTGAAATCCGGCTCCCGCTTAATGAGACCGAGCTAGGCAGAGTCAATTAAATCAAATTCCCACTAACATCCCTAATACATCTGCAGTGTGTACAGAACAGGCGGCGACAGCGGTGTTAATAAAGGGATTCACTGCCTCATTATATATTAAGAAAAAGGGGGAAAAAAGAAAAAAGAGGAAGGCGAGGAAGAGGGGCAGAGGAAGGAAACTTATGTGTGTTATTTACAGTGGGGAAGGGGTGAGGGAAGGATGTTTGCGCCTCTGCGAGTGAATGAATGAGAGGGAAAGAGAGGGAAAGAGAGAGAGAGGGAGAGAAACACACACACAGATCACTGAAAGGAGGCTCTGTCCCCTAAACCCAAATAACCCGCTTGCAAAGAACTGATGCTGGAAAAATGGTAAGGACCCGGAGTTGAAAACATTTTCACTTTAATACTGAAAAAATATGCCATTATAAAATCCTCGAATAGAATTAGTAAGTTTCACTTGCTTCCTCAGTTCTGGTTTCCTCAAGTTATAAGTAAGATTTACAACAGCACAGAATTTTCTACCATTAAACTTTGCAGCCTAAGCACTAGAGTGACATTAATTGGTCATGCTTAACTGCCTTGGATTTTTTTCTTTGTATGTTTACACTGTTACCATAATAGAAATCAAGGGTACTAATTTTTACATTCAGATGGAAAGGCAATACTGAATATGTATATTGAAAGAGAGAGAAAACAAAACCGAAGCCTCCCTTCCCCCCTCCCGAAAACCAAAACACAACCCAGCGTCAACAAAGCAAATCTATCCCAGCAAAGTAATTCCTGCCTCAAAAAAATAAAAAAATAATAATAAAAAAATCCAATGAGAATATCCATGCAACTATGTCTTAAATAAAACCTTTTACATTGTCTTCCACAGTAAAAGTACGATCTCTACTGCCTATTGATCACACAAAAATGGCGAAATGGCACTTTTTATTATTATACTGTATTTCTTATATAGAAGGTTTGATACGAAGGGACTTATCAGGTAAGAGGGATGATGGTGTGAACTAGACGCTGCTTCCAGTCGGGGGCTGGAGCGTCCCTGGGGTGCGTTGTATCCATGCGAGCCATGCAGCACTTCTTTTTTTTTTTTTTTTTTTTTTTTTGTGTGTGTGTGTGGGTGTCCATTTGTCTGTTTGTTTCGGAGTCATTTATTTACATTACATTCATGCCTTCGTGCAACTTTCCACTCTTGCTTTGCTGTCAGGAGGAGGCCAACGCCAGCCTTTCCTCCGCCCCCCTCCTCTTCCCGGCCTCTCGGAGAGGGCTCGGTCCACACGAGAAGAGGGCACAAAGAAGCAAAACAAACCCCAACACAACAGAACAAAAGCCCAGCATAACCAGGAGCCGTGTTTCGCCCAGCCGGAGCCGCAGGGAAAGGATCCTCTCTTGTCCGTTGCTGCCCTGGCAGCTCAGGGGCGGGGGATGCGCCCACCGCGCAGGGATGCACGGAGCTGCGCGGCTGCGCCCCAGCGTCGGGCTGTCCCCGCCGCTCACGGGGCCTCGGGGTTGTTTTTTTTTTTTTTTGGGGGGGGGGGGGGGGGGGGGCGTGCTTGTGTTCTGCTGTTTCTCACCGAAGGTCGCCGAGATGCAGAGAAGTCCCCGGACGGCGCTGCCTCCCCACCCGCAGAGAGCGAAGGGCCGGTCCCGGTCCCCGCTGGAGGCCGCTCCCATCCCGCCCGCCGCCTCAGTCCGATAGCGAGTGTGAGCCGCAGTCGTAAACCCTGTGGGCCCCGTCAGCACTGTAGGGCCCGTTGTGCCAGTAGGACGAGTCACAGACGGTCTGCAAAGAGTTGATTTCGGATGCAGAGGAGTTGGCATCCCTCCTCTTGGACCGCTTTCTGTTCCTCAGGATGAACACCAGCATGCCAACCACCGTGAAGGCAGAGGTCACAAAAACCAGCAGGAGCCCTGGCACTAGCACTGAAATAGAGACACGGCTGGTCTCCAAGTAGGAGTTGGAGTGAGTACCTGTCTCTGTCAAGCCGGTGCTGTTTTTATTAGTCGAAGTTAATGTGGGCAAGATTTTTAACTGAGGGCAAATAACGTCATTGGAGAGAGACTCGAAATCCTCCTTGAAGAAATCTTCGGGGGACTCACACCTCAGGTCACTCATAATCACCTTGGGGCGCAGCATCTCTGCCCACTGTTTGAAAGGCACGATAGGGCAAGTACAGTCCCATGGGTTGCCATGTAGATCTATCTGGGTGATGGAGGTGAGCTGGTCCAGCACCCCTGCCACGGGGAGGTACATGAAATAATTGTTGTGTATACTCAGCTTGGAAAGCGAGACCCCAGCAAACACATCTACTGGGAGAGACCTCAGCAGGTTGTTGTTGAGGATGAGGACTCTCAGTTTCGGCATTGCATTGAAGGTGCCAGGCATGATCAGCTGGATGCCATTAAACTCCACGTTCAGGTACTCCAGGTTTTGCAGCCCAGCAAATTTCTCCCGGGACAGGGTGTCTAAGTAGTTGCTATCCATGTAGAGCCATCGGAGCTCAAAGAGATTCTTAAAGGTGTTGTTCTCAACAGTGGCAATGTTGTTGTTGCCCAGATCGAGTAGATTAAGTTTCCGGTAATCCAGAAAGTGGGATTTCCTGATGGTGTGTATTTTGTTGTCTCTCAGGAACAGCTCCTGCACATTGGATGGCTTGGGCTTCAAATCCACCAAGCTGCTCACGTTCCTGTCATTGCAATTAACCTTTAAACCCGAGCCAGGGATCTGATCACAGCTGCAGATCTGTGGGCAGGACACTGTAGCTGGTAGCTTGTTCTTCACGCTGACTGTTGACACAGCAGCAGTGGGTCTGGTCTTAATTTGCCAGTTGACAGGAATCTTTGTACCTCCGCTTGGACCAGATCCTGGTGTGGCAGGGTCTTCTTTGCCATGTATTTTAAAGGGAGTTGGAATGGGACCAGGATCGCAGGTTTCTTCTTCGGCAGGGGGAGCAGCTAGGCTAGAATCCACTCTGTTCTTTTTGCACAGCTCTTGCTCTGTGGTCTCATTTAAATCTTTGCCCTGCAACCTAGTGGGAGCCTCACAAATCACTCTGCCGATCAAAGCGTTTTTGGGTATGTTCTCCAGCCATTCCTTCAGCGACAGCAGATCGCAAGTGCAGTCCCAAGGGTTATCCTCTAGCAGGATTTCAGCAATTCCTGGGATCTGCTCCAGGACCTCCTCGTAAGGCAAGGTTTTAAGACGATTTCCCCGGAGGTCGAGGTGGGTGATGGGCACATACTGAAACACGTTGGGGGGCAAGGTGCTGATTAGATTGTCATTTAAAATCAGCACCTCTAGTTTGTTTAAGTCCCTAAATGCTCCCGGGTCAATATCCCGCAATAGATTGAAATCTGCCTGGAGGTATTCCAGATCGTCCAGCCCCAGGAAAGTCTGCTTCCTGAATGATTTGATCTTGTTGTTGTTTATGTGCAAGCGTTTCACCAGCTGCAGCCCAAGGAAAGCCCCAGGAACAATCTCATGCAAACCGTTGTTTTCCATGTGCAAACTAACTGCATTGTAAAAGTTAGCAAACTCATTAGGGAAAAGTCGAGTCAAGGAATTGCCATGCAGGAATAAATGGTAAAACTGGGAAGTCGGGGCAGTGAAATGTTGCAGGCTGGTAAATCCCTTTTTCTCACAGTCTACGTGCAAATCCCCTTCTATCTCGTTGCAGGCACAGATCTTCTCTTTGCAAACGTCCCCTGTAACGTTTCCAGCAGCAAAACAAAGAGACGTCTCCAGCAACAGAATCCAAAGCAGCATTTTTAAACCGAGCAATTCATTCCCGATCTCGTCACAAAGTAACAGCAACCATCCTCCTCTCACGGAAAGCAATTCCAGTTCATTCAATACATTAAATGTCCGAATCGTCAACAAGGGGGGAGGAAAAAAAAAAAAAAAAAGAAAGAAAAATAAAACGTGGGGAGGGGGAGCAAGGAGGGTCGGCAGAGGGGGGATGCTTTCTTGTCTCCTCTCTCCCTCTCTCCCCCCCCCAAGTACAACTGCAACAGCCCAGATTCCAGTCAATAATTGTATCCACAAACTATCCAGGCACGTACTGCAAGCACGCATTAAAAAAAAAAAAAAAAAAAAAAAAAAGTAGAAGGGAAAGAAAAAAAAAAAAAGAAATAAAAGAGTGCCCCTACTCGGTCCCCCTCCCTGACGGCTCCCGGGAACCTAAGCGGAGGTCTGCGGCCGGTCGGGCTGTCTCACCGCCGAGGGATCGCTGCTGCTGGCCCGCGGCATGTCCGAGCGGCGCAGGCGGAGAGCGCGGCGCTGGCCGCGGAGGATGCCGCTGCGCGCGGCTCCGCGCAGGGCTGACCTTGCCGCGCGCCCGCGGAGCCGCGCTTCTATCCCGCCGCCCGCCGGGCGCTGTCCAGCGCCCCGGTGCTGAAAGCGCGCCCCAGCCTAGGCTCTACCCGCCGAGCCGCCGGCGCCACGCCGCGCCGGCCCCCGCTGCGCTGCGCGGCCGCCCATGCCCGTGCCGGCGGCCGGAGCCTGCCGCGGGGCCGGGGCCTCCCCACAGCCCTACCGCCCCACCGACCGCCCCTTCGCCCGCCGCACCGCGCCGCGCCTCGCCTCTCCCTGCCTGCCGGGCTGCCTCCCCTCCTCGCTCGCTCGCCCGCTCTCTCGCTCTTCTTTCCTCTTTCTTCCGCTGCTGCCGAGTGGCACGCTCGCACACACTCACATGCACGCAGAGGGAGAGTTGCTAAGAGGCTCTGCTCGTTTCAACCTGGTGCACACTGAAAGATCTGACACCCTCTGCTGAGCTGCAGTGGCAAAAATCCATCTGCTGAGGGAATGCTGGAGAAAAAAAAAAATCAATCCACGTAGAGGGCAAGCGTTAAAAACGCTGGCATTAAAAGCTGTCGATCTATTTAGATGTTTTGTCCTAAATGGATCATTTGATTTATTTCTTTTCTTTTAAGATGGAAAGTTTAGCATTCCCCCCCTCCAGGCCTGCCTTATTGCCCCCATTCACACACACTCACACCTGCACCAGCAGCCGAGGAAGGTACGTTTGCCTCACTGTATTTCCTAATGGCTGCAACAGAATTAGTGTCAGGGTGTCAAGCGAATAACAATTTGAGGTAATTATTCTGCACGCCATTTTTGTCGTTGCTTTAAATGCATTTCGCCCTCCCCTCAGCCTAACTGTTTCACGCTGGATTTGGTGTCTTGCTGGCGTTCTCTGTGCAATGCTGAACCATGGATTATTGCATCTTCTTTCTATATATTTATAATTTAGATGATCACAGAGAAGAAGGGAGTAGGGAGGAGGGGATTTGCTTCACTATTAGCAATTCACGCTACCTGTTTCCATAGAGTATAGTGTCTCCCTTAAGGATAGGAGGAGAGGGCTGAAACTGACGGTTGTGTATCTTGACATTCTTATATATATATATATATATATAATCTACAGATACACTTACGTACACGCATCGATCTTTCTCTATGGATGCTCCTAATATCCTCTCTGGGGAAATACAACGCTTGCTTCCCTCGCCCCCCTCCCCCTTCTCCCACCGCCCTTTCCAGCTCCCACCCTTTTGACAAAAGAGATTACACAGCGGGAAAATCGGTGCCTGGCCTTAAAGAAAGGAGCCAAGCATACGAAAGTTTCTGCATCATTTGGACGGGGTTCAGATGTGAAGAACCAGTTGCATCTCTGGTGGTGCAAGAGAAAACCCACGTTTCCCCCTGCCTTGTCAAATCGTGCTGAGGAGGAGGAGAGGGAAGAGGAGGACAGAGAGGAGGAGAAGTAGGAGGAGGAGGAAGAGGAGGAGGGGTCGGGAGAGGCAGCCTGGCCGCCGGGTGCCTCCTGCATCCCAGGGCTGCACCTCTCCCGTCCGGCGCCGCTGGTGAACTTTGCGGCATACTGGTGGGGAGGGGGGGTTAACCGCGGGAGTGGGCTGGAGGAGGGTTATTTATACGAAAAGCCAGAAAGCCACATGGAGCCCGCATCCCCTGGTCCCGGCGGCATGCTAATTTGGTCAACGCTTTTCCCTGGCTGCTGCTTGCAAGTAAATTAGACATCCTGCCGATGATGATCTTATCAAATTAATGTAATTAGACCACAGACAAGTTGCAACAGTTACCGTGGCCATTTCGGGTCCCCAGGATGAAGATTTGGCTTCTCAGTTGGTCACGGTGCACAGGGACTACGGAGGGACGAGGGAGAGGGGAGGGAGGAAACGGGGCGGGAGGAGGAAACAAAAAGAGAAAAATCCTGGCCCCGAAAAAGCCTGCCCAATAAATTAGAAACGCACCAGAAGAGGTAAAATGCCACTGAGACAGAAAGCACCACAATAAATGTATTAGTGGTTTCTTCAGGAGAAAAAAAAAAAAAAAAAAAAGAAGGAAACTTGGCGCCACGTTGAGGCGCATTAATTCATTTCTCCTGATGGTTTCTTTGACTTTGTCTCTCGGTGATGTCGGGGCGGTGGGGGGTGAGGGGGGGCGGTGCCAGGCGGGCTGGAAACCTTCCATGGATCAAAAATAGCAGCCTCGAAGTGCACGGGGAGGTAGGGAAGTCCCCAGGAAACTCTGTGGAAGGAGGCAGGAGAATCAGGGGAAGGGGACAGGGTTGAGGTCTGAGTTAGGGTAGGTGACTTACTCCGTGTCAGCAGCAGCGATAAGATCACCGTTAGGAAAATCCCGGGGGAGGAAAGGCTGAAAAGCTGCAGTCTGATGAACACTAAGTTGGATGTGAGGCAGTAGGACTAAGAAACTTGTTCTCCCACTATAGAATAAAGCTTCTGAGCATCTTCACCTTCATGTTATTAAAATTGTTCAAGCACTGTAAAAAGAATCAAAATGCAGCCAGAGACCTGAACATTAGCAAGGTATTAAATAAATAAATACAAATCAAGTAAGAGGAAGGAGACAATGACCTGTTGTCAAAGCATGAAGGACAAATTGTTTGCTTCTTCCAAAGCATCTGCTGTGAGGTGGGAACCTAGTGTAAGCCACCTGCGGTCCTAGATTTTCAAAAGGGGGGGGGGGAGGGGAAAGAGCTAAAAAGTCTGCCAGAAGATGTAAGAGTGTTCATGACTACTTTGTAAATTCCAAAAGACTATTTAGATAAGGAACCCATTGTGTCTTCAGCTGTATACTTTGGAACTATATAGGGAGATTCATGTCATATATATGATATATGTATTACGAGAGTGTTTGCATGCCAAGGTTTGCATCCAGAAGGCAAGTCAGAGAGGAAGAAAAGAGGCATGATACATTTTAGATCTGGTATCAGATGTTTCGGTTCTGTAAGTCAAATTACACAGGAAAAATGTGTCAGGAACAGGGAATTAATCTATCATTATTCAGTGCCATAATCCTAAATTGCCAGATTTCCTCATCTTGAATTAAGTTTGGAAATGAATACCTTAGAAGAAGAGGCCTGCCTCCAAGTGCTTTAAGGAGATACCTACTCTGGATCAGGTTGATGAGGATGTCTGGCTGAAATAATTTGCTCTTTTACCTATAGAATGTGGTAAAGTGAGAGATCATGCAGCACTGAAAGGCCAATGAATATGGGTTTTTAAAATCCAGCATATGCATTCCAGTTCTCAATCTATACACAGGTTGAATAACCGGAGCTCACAATGTCTCCTCCCAGTTGTCCAGAAGATCATATTGGGGAAAGAGCACCCAAGTATATTTTCCTTGACTCCTTTCCTTATCTGATGTCTTTTCCTTGTGTTTGCCTTTGCAACTTCTAGAAGCCTAAGACAATGAGCTTCTTAATTATATCTTTCTTCTGGGTGGAGAGTCCCGTATTTGACCAAGCACAAGCCAAATGTCTTGGGCATCACAATTGCCTTTTGAACAGGAACATTTTTGATCCTGATATGGAAAATAAAATAGGAAAAGGTACTGAGTACTTTTACATTTTCCCAGTTGGTAACCTCTCATCCTCCTGTTGCCATGACTATGTAAGTCACACTGGTTAAGGTTTTATTTGTGCTATATCAGAACATGTTAAAAAGCTCATTACCTCATCTAACATTGTAGAACTTGCAAAGCAGAACTCAGAGCATCTGCAAAGTTTCTGCAGAACACAAATTTGTTACTGTAGATACCCTGCTTTCAATACTTGTGCCATGTTCTGTAAAATTGGCTTCATTATTTCTGTGGGAGGTATAATCACAATCAAGACATCCTACATTGCAGACATTATTCTGTGTGTGGATACACACACATATATATAAATATGTATATAAACATCTCTGTACATGTGTGCACTGCAAATTATGATGGACTCAGCAAACAGAAAGTTATATGATCATTGTTTAATTTGAAATTATAGCTTTATTCAGGCTTTGTCTATGCATATGTGTCTCCATATGTTGGTGCAGCTCCTGCAGAAACTAAGCTTCCCAATGTAACTTCAAACCAGTCAGTTTAAACCCTTTTATGTAAGGGTAGGATGGGTTAAACTAATACAAGGATCTCCTCCCAGAATTTTCTATCTCAATATGTTTCACAGGCCAGTCTTTACAGAACTACTAGATGTGTACCTAAATTGCATTTAGGCCTAACAAGATTTTCAAAACTAGGTATTTATTTCCCTCATTTTCCTGAGGGCAGTGACGTGTGAGCATGTTCCAATTCTTCTCGTGATACATTCACCAGATGGAACTTCGCAAAATGATGCAGTGGCAGATGATGATGATTGATTAAAAAAAAAAAAAAAAGAAAAGAAAGTTAGAGAAGTGGTTTGCCTACTTCTATCTAGTGAGTAGGAGACTGGCTCAGGATGAGAAAATAAAAAATCTCTATCTTTTGCAATGTAAGAGCCAGCCCACATGTTCCTCTTTCTTGGCTCATACCCTCAACTACCAGGGTACCAGCCTTCTTGCTGCAGCTGTTCTACTTTACAAGAAAAATAATTCTGAGATCCATTGAACCAGAGAAAGGCAGTGGGGGAGCATGAGTTACAGCACCCACCAGGGTGCGCAGAGCCCTTGGAGGACTTGCTTGCATTGTGCTTTCGTGTGAGACTGAGCTTGACCTAATGGACTTCGCACATTAGATGTCAAAACTATGGAGACAGTAGCAAAACCTATACACATTCTTCTTCAGTATGAATATTTATCAGACCTTGTGATAATTCCAACCAGTGTTGGAAACACTGGCCTGCATAGGTCACAGTGTGAGTCTTACAAGCTTCAAACAATAAGAGACAGAAAAGTGAATAGGAGACACAAAGGTAGACAGATTTTGCATCCATCTTGGGTGTAGTTTGCCATAAAAGCCATGTAGTCATTTCACTTTGTAATTCTGACGAAGCGGAAGCAGAAGGTGTATTTAGTGAGTTGGCCAGGCCAAGGTCTTGACCAGAATTTCTTATTTAAACTATATATATTGATCAGAGTTTCTGACCCAGTTTCCACTGTGATTGCTTGCATCAAAATCATTAGAAAACCTGAGCAGTTCTTAGGACAGGTCTGAGCCCCAGAACTGCTGTCCTTACTGGAAAGAGTATTCAGAATAGCTGTTTGGTGAAGGACTGAATTCACAGAGACATATGTATTTTATCTTTCTTTGTTATTTTAATTAATCTTTTTCTTCTCTTTTATTCCCCACGTTCACTCCCTCCTGTCCTCTCCCCTACAGCATATAGTTTCCAGCATAGTCTTCTGGAGTGGCCTGTAAGTGACCTTTTTTCAAATGAAAAGGGTACTATAGGGACAGACTAAAGCTCCTTCTAACTTAGCAATGAATTGACCCCATGTCTCCACCAGGAAAGAATATTCTGCCCACTGTGCTGTTGGTGAGAAGGAGAGATATAGGGAGCTGAGTCACCCACCTCCTTTTACTCCTTTCATTCCAAAGCACACACATACGTATACATGCTTGCTTTAAAAGTTTGATGCAACAGATGTGGGTTATCTGTTTTCAGGGAAAAATTTGAAGTTTTGGAGCCCAGATGGAGGGAGGGAGATGGTTTTGCTACAGCCCTGACCCCAGAATGTGAACTGAGATTCCACTGCAGCATTTCACTGAAATGTCCTCCAAGCAACATCTTCACTGCTCTCTATCCTGATGTGAGGGCCTGATTTCTGCCTTCCTCAGTGCAGTATGTGAGATGGTTGGTTGCCTGCATGGTGGACTGGGATTTCACTCCAGTCTTCTTCCTCCCAAGTTTGGCATTGCAGCGCTCAGCACTGCAGCACTGAAGTACACAGATTTTATTTATTTATTTACTTTTTTTCTTTGTGGTAAAAGATATACATTTAGGTTGGGGAAAAAATATTATCTGGAGCTGTGAGAAATATTTGTTCTTTTCATCAGTGGTAGCAGGAAAAGTACTAGTATAATGTTATAGCCCTTAAGAAGTTATAACCTCTGCACTATATTCTAACCTCAGCACTTTTTTGTAACAGATTCCAGCATTATCATTTTAAGTACTTATTAGCGTAATTCTCAGCATCTTGCAAGGCTTGACTCTCATGTAGTGTGATCAATACATGACATAATAGTGCACTTTTACTAATGTGAGCTTTTTGTTGCTTGATTGCTTATTTCATTCTTTCCTGAAACATGCCCATTTTCTAACTGCAAACAAGCAAAAGGTTGAAATAGCTGGTCACTCTGCAACTTATTTAACTGACAGGGGTAGTTTAGTAAAGTGCAGTCATGCATTTCAAAATCAGTTAAAAATTGCTTCTATCATCTTGTGAAAAATCACATATTGAGACAGGAAGAACATGAGTTAACTCGTGGAACAAAACTTGCAATATCATTTAGAAATAAGGCATTAAAAAGCATCTTTCTCGACCAAGAAAAAAATAAAATAAAAAAGATAGTTTTCAATAATTACTTTCTTACCCCTTTTCATGCCACAGTCTCTGACCGACATAAGGATCATTTAAATGA